AATTGTCCAAAACTAATTTATGATACGACATGATGACCATTTCCTGTCCAGACCTGAATTCAGCCATTTCTCCAAGAGTTCTGATCTTTGCTAAGGGAGAATGCTATTTCCAGAGTGAAAAGAAAAACAAAAGGCTTAGTATCTGAGTTGGTGATCAATTCTAAAATAATTCAATAAACAAAATAAGCAAATTTTCCTTCCTTCTCACTTCCTTTTCTTTAAAAATAAAACACATTATAGCCGCATCCAGTGGCTCACGCCTGTAATGCTAGCTACTCAAGAGGCTGAGATCTGAGAATCGAGGTTCAAAGCCAGCCTGGGCAGGAAAGTCCATGAGACTCTTATCTCCAATAAAACACTAGAAAACCAGAAGTGGCACTGTGGCTCAAGTGGCAGAGCGCTAGCCTTGAGCTGAAGAGCGCAGGGACAGCACCCAAGCCCTATATTCAAAAGCCCCACGACCAACAAAAAATAAAAAATAAAAATAACATTATGGATTCACTATGATGTCTTTTCCAATTAAGGACTATTAGATTATTGCTCATTCTCCTCTAACTTATATTAATGTCTCTGTTTTTCTACACTAAGAATTTTCCTATGTCTGCACTGTCATCAGGAATGAAAGAACAGAAATATTCCTAATATGAAAATCAAAAGTACTTCAAAATTTGAAAATTTTTGAGAATCAGCTTGATATAAAGTAAAGGCTTGTACATCTATATTCTTGCAATGAGTCACAAAACACAGATAGACTAAAAACAGTATATAAAATTTCCTTCAGACTATGTACAAAAGGTACATATGAAGCATAAAATTTCTATCCCTAAGACATCTGCCTATGTATATAAAAATATCTGAAAATCCTAAATGATCTAATCTCGAAAACATTTCTTCTCCTGAGCATTCAGATAAGGGATCTTCAACCTGAAGTAAAATTCCTCATTGCCTTTGTTCCTGCAAGTAAGATCCACCCATTAATCTAAAACTCACAATACCAATACTATAGACAACTAGTAGTTTTAGGGTTCCTATTGCTTGATACTTTTTTTTATTCCTTAGAATGTTTCTGTGATTGGTTGTACAAATTACTATAATATAAAGTTATTTAAAATTGGTACTATATGTATTTGGGGCCGCCAACTAGATAATTTTTAGGTATTTTACATTTATTTCTTAGTCTAACAATTGTTCTTTATTAAATTGTATTTATTAATAATTATTATGAACTTTTGTTTGAAAATTTAAATGTGAATGTTTAATAATTATAAAAAACATAGCACAACTCTAAAATTAAAGTACTAAAATCTAGCTTACATTTCACTTCTGAGATCCTGTTCTGTTTCTTCCCAGTAGGTACCTGCTTTTTATGTTCTCCGATTTTATTTTGTATAACATACGTAGCTTATATATAGTGTTTCAAAATATGGCTTATTTACTTCTTGTTTCCTAAAACATACTTTTGAACGATTAGGAAGGTTTATGCTTTTGTTTTAAATGTCACATATATACTGATATTTTTATGTAAAACTAGCCACAAGCCATAGTTTTTATTGCCCATTATTTACCCATTATTGAAGTATTGGCTAGGAATTGCATTTTCATCTTTTAGCTAACAGATATTATAAAGACTATGGTTTTAAATATAGGCTCCATAAAAGTTTTCCCTTGCCAGGCACTGTAGCTCAGGCTTATAATCCTATAGCACTCCACAGGCTGAGGCAGGAGGAGCTCCAGTTCCTGGCTAGCTTGTGTTACAAAGTCTTTGCCAAACAAACAAACTCTCAAACTGAATGTGGCTGTTATATTTATCTCATTTAATTCAAGGTTTTTACTCCTTTACACTACAGTCGTTTGGGCGGATGGTTCTTTGCTGAGGGGACTGCTGCCTTCCCTGAGCTTGTAGGATGTTCCACAGCATCTTTGGCCTCCCCTCACTGCCAGCTACAATGTTCCTTCGAGGAAAGGCACCTCCAGTGGAGATGTAACAAAATCATCCCCACTAATTTAACTAAATCAGATTGTCCCCTCTCAGTATCTGTAACTATCCCCTACCCACTCAGTATGAGTTAATGGAAACTTGTCAAAAATACACAAAGCCTAGAAGATGAGAATTTTGTGTATTAAAACCAGATTTATGTCCTTGAGTAGAGTTGACTATTTGTTACTGGGGCTCAAACTCAAGTCATCACACTCTTGTTTAGCTTTTTTGCTCAAGGCTGACACTCCAGCATGTGAGCCACAGCTCCATTTCAGGCTTTTTGCTGATTAATTGGAGATTAAAAAAAAAAATCTCATGGACATTCCTGCCCAAGATGGCTTTGAATGATGATCCTCAAATATCAGCAGCTAGGATTATAGTAAGCATGAACCACCAGTACCTGACATTAATTATTTCTTAAGTGAGTAAGTCTCTCTATATGCTTTACATTAAAATCTTTCAATAAGGAAGAGTAAACACATTTTCTTGACAACATGGATAGCCTAATTTGCCTCCAGACCCTTAGTCCCTGGCAAGCACACTCTGTTTTCTGTTTGAACAAACATCACTAATACAGCAGGAAAAATCATCTTAATAGTCAGTGTGATGGCTATTTTACAGTCAACCAAAATCATAAACAAGGCATGTAAAATTTTGAGCAAGGCAGTAATACTTGGATATTCTCCTGCAAACTGCTGTAATACCTTTGTTAAATGTGCTTAAAAATAAACAATGCTTAAAATAACAAAACAACAATGCTTAAAATAATACTTCTCATCTGGGCATGGGTGTATACACCTGTAACCCTAGATAATAATGAGGCTGAGATCTAAGAACTGTGGTTTAATGCCAGTCTGGGCAGAAAAGTCTTCATCAGACTCTCATCTCCAATTAACCACTAAAAATCCAGAAGTGGCAATGTGGCTCAAGTGGTAGAGTGTTAGCCTGAGCACAAAGACACTGAGAGACAGTGAGACGCTGAGAGACAGCCCCTGAGTTCAAGCCCCATAACCCAAGGAAAAAAGTCTCTTTCTCAATGAAAACAAACAAAAACCCACAAGCCATGAGATATTTTGAGTTGAAAATGCATCTAAATGTTAATACATGGGATGCTCTGTGTAAGAGGAGGCAAAAGAAAGAAGTCTATGGAAAAAGTATATCATTCAAATTACTCTTAATAGGATGTACTGTTTGGTCAACATTTTCTTTATGGTGTAGCTAAATTGTGTGGCTTCTAAAGCAAAATGCTTTACAAATGCAAAACTACAAAAAATTTCCCAATCAAAAAAGAACTATGATTGCTCAAAGTAAAAATATTATTTTATACATATCAGGTACCTCAATACCTGTACATTTATTTGATTAAATGTTCTTTAAATAATATTTAGAATATATATGTATATCTATACATACACTTTATATATTACAAGCAGATCTCTATTAAATCATGGGCTTTGTAAGCTAGTATATAATAAGAAAAACTAAGGGTGTATCACCCTACTCCGCCATGCAAACTATGCATAGTACATGCCTCCATCTTTTCAAACATACTGCCTGGACTAAATCCATCAAAAAATTTCCAAATAGTATATTCTTGTGCCAGGCCGGGTGGTGCACATCTATCAGCCCAGCACACAGGAGTGAGACAGGAGGACTGCACATTTTTGATGCTAGCCTGGTATAACTGGCAAAACATGTTTCAAAAACCCAAAATATCAAAACAAAAATGGTATATGCTTGTGTATATCAAATGTGATTTCTATGGGATTAGTTTAAAACAGACTTGTTCATACACATGCACAAACAAACACAAACATCTTGCATGTGAAGAAATGGTTAAGCACAGGAACAGAGGTCTGTACCTCTGGCTACTCAGGAGGCTCAGTGGAGGGAGTCATCCAAGTCCAGGCTTTTGAAACTAGCCTGCACAACACTACAAGATGGAAGGGAGAAGAGTAAAGTGGAGGAGGAAGAGAAGGAAAAAACCAGAAAAGACAAACAGAAGAGTTTACATTTATAAATTTCTTTCTTTCTTTTTGAGGGGAGTGGGCGGGGGGGGGGGGGCAGTTGTGGAGCTTGATCTCAGGATTGGGCGCTGTCCCTGAGCATTTTTGCTCAAGACTAGCTTTCTACTAGTTGAGACACAGGTATACTTCTAGTTTTTTGCTAGTTAATTGGAGATAAGAGTCTCATGGACTTTCTGCCCAGCCTGGCTTTGAACCATGATCCTCAGATCTCAACTTCTTGAGTAGCTAATATTACAGGTATGCACCATGAGTACCCAGCTTATCAATTTCTTGATATGTACCATCTTCCACCTAACAATAGCTCAACTCTATAACACAAAATAGTAATTCTCTAAAAGTATCAACCATCTTGAGTAAAACTGCCAGAAACGTCTAAAACTGTAGTAGCTAGGGTCCTGCGAGTCCTGATAGAGACTGCCTCTGTCCCTAATATTTCTTCCCTTGATACCTATAGCAGCTCTTCCTTCCTAGATCTTCACATGAAATTCAAGTAATACAGGTAATAGTTGTAATTGAGTTGATTGTCAATCAGTGACATATCATATTTTGTCAATTAGTGGCAACTGTATTTTATTCCAGTAAGAAGCTTTCTATTATTTCTATCTGTTCTAGCTTTCAGGTTAAATTTTTTAAAAATCTAGGTAATTTAACTTCAACTATTGATACCATATTTTATTTCAGGAAGTAGCCTTCTGATTATTTCTATCTGTTCTAACTTTCAGATTAAATAGAAAAAAATCCAGGTAATTTAACTTCAACTATTATCCTTATTTACCATTAGTGAGCAATCAAAAGTCTAAAGTAAGCCCAATCTATTAACATGTACAGAACTGTCTACCTCTCTTGCAAAAGGCACTGGCCCAGGTTCTAAACTTAATCAAAATCTGATGAAAACAGATAATGAATTCCATTCGCAGGAGCATGGATGGATAACAAAAGTTGGCATCCCTGTAAATTAAGATAAAATGTGCAGAGAACAAAGAGCTCTCACTTACTTGCACGAAGAACGGAAGGTGTGACCTCAATTTCACTTGTTGCTTGATAAGGCTGAAAGGCAGAAGCATTGCTGGTACCAAGCTCACTACCAAATATCTCCGGACTCTGGGTCCCTGTGGAGCTGGCACTGGTGCCATCACCTCCATGATGGGGATCTTGCTCATCAAACACCGCGACCAGCTAGAAAAGAGAGGCAAATGTGCACTTGTAAATACAATCACTTCAAATTACTACCAAACATATTTGGCCATTTTGCCATAAATCCATGGTGGGAAAATTAGAAAGCAAGACTTAAAAAAAAAAGTATTTCCCTGAAATTTGATGTTTACGGGCATACTTCTAAGTACTACATTTTATACCCAAAATTCTAAGGGTGAAAAGTTAACAAAACAGATTGCTAACACTGGGGTATGTTTAAATCTTTTTTATATAAGATGTGCTGTGAAATGGAAACAAAGCAAACAAAAGAGTTCATGTGTACATATATTCAGATGAAACTGTATGTATAAAGAGTGTATAAGTTGTAACATTCACATTGGAAAGTGAATGGCAAGTACATTCATCTGCTAATTTCTGCATAAAAATATTGAAAGTATAAAAAGAAAATAAGTGAAATGGGTTACATACAAAAAGAAAAAACTGAACCAGGAAATAGGAGGGAAATGGCATTTTTCAAAGTATATTTTTCTGTGTAGCTCTGAATCTCCAAATCATAATAGTGAGTCAATTACCTAAAACAGAACCAAATGGTTGAAATCAATCAATAGCCTAAAACAGAACCAAATAACTGGAATCAATCAGGATAGCAAGAGTTTATGGGGAATATAAAATGGCACCTTAAAGAAACTTGCCATTGTTTAACATGACCACACTAATCAAGGCAAAAAAGAAGTGGTTTACTTTGGGAAACTGTATTTTCACTGTTTAATGTAAAGCTGAAGACAAGAACTGTCACACAAATACTATATTCTAGTTAGCAATTTGCTCCTTTCAAGCGTATGGTTTAGCAATTCTCACTCGACTACACATATACAAACATACATACCATGAACGAATAAAAAAATGAAAATATTTTGGATAATGAAAGCCAATCTTCTCACTGTCGAAAACAGAAGTTACAAATAAGGAAAGACTGGAATAAACTCTGGAGTGTTAGACTAGAATCAGGGCATCAGTTCAAACCCATGGTTTTTGTGAGTGGTTACAGTCATGTGTCACTCAAAAACAGGTTATGTTCTAAGAAACGTGCCAGGTTATTTCATCACCTGGAACATCGTGAATTGCACTTGCACAGAGCTAGATATTTAAGTCAATGGCTCAAAGAAGTCCCTTCATGCAATCAAGAGAAACTGTAAATACCTAGATATATGAGGCTACTACTGGCCTAACAAGGTACCTTCCTTTCTTCAGTAAATTACACACAAAAAAAATAGCCTAAAATGAATGACAAGTAGTATAATAAACATATAAACCAGTAACACAGTTATCCATTAAGCATCATGCACTATATATAGTGTAATGGATATATTTTTATGGACCAGCCACACTGTAGGTTCATTAATGCTACGAGTGCCACAAATGAGAGTAATATGTTATGTCATGCTATTAACAGACAAGAGAAAAATTTTAGCTCCTTTATGTTCCAATGGAACCATCAGTATATGCGCGCGCACACACACACACACACACACACACACACACACACACACACACACACACACACACACACACCCCTCCCCATGTCATCTAAAAATGTTCTAATATGATGAATGGTTAGATAGATACACAGATAAACAGATATAGACAATGTTAATGATGTGTGAGCATGCATGCATGTATTCCTTAGCCTGGTTCACTGAACAAGTACCACAATCAAGTATCAGTGAGCCCATTTAGTGTTCTGCTGCTGGTTTCTAATATCATTCTCCTATAAATGAATGAAGGATCTTTGGACAAGCAGTTTATTTTAGTATTGGAGCAGTGAGAACACATGACAAGCTGGATGCCTTGTGAGGCTTAGAATGAGAAAAGTATTTGGAAGTGGAGAAGGCATATCAAAGGGAAGCCAGTGCAACCAGACGCAGCTTTCAGGGCCAAAATGGAGACAACTTATAACCAAGAAAGTAATGTCAGCATTGGATCATAACCCAAAGAATAAAATATTCCCCTAAGAATATTAGGTCTTAAAAATAATTGAAGTAATAAAAGGTAGCAGACAGCTGCCTTCAAGTGTAACATTCCAAATAACAAAGATAGAATGACAAAACTAGAAGTCATCATTAAGTAATTTCTATCATAATGCTTGCAGACAAGATTTACCAGCAAATGCTAAAGTTAATGAAAGAGAATATGATGAAAAACAGGTTATCTTCATACCTCAAAAGGTAGGTTTTACCAAAAAGTAGAAGGTGAGTTAATTTTGCAGTAAAGAAACTTGGCAAACAGACCTTAACAGGGTTACCATTAGCAGTGGTAAGAGAAGCCAGTGTCATTTATCATTTGATAAGGTAAACAACTTAAGTTCTAATTAGTGTTCCTGCCAAAATTGTATAACTTCAATTTAACCAGACAAATCTATATGGAAATATATTCCATGAAATACATGATACTCATTCTGAGTACAAAGGTCATGAAAGTATAAGAAAAGATGAGGAAATTATATAAATTGGAGGCTAAAGAAAAATGAGAACTACATGCAATGTGAGCCTCTCACTAGATCCAGGCCAGAAAAGGGAGGAGGAGAGGAAAGGAGCAGGCAGACAGACAGACAGACAGAATGAAAAGGCAAATTTGGTGCTAGTAACTCCCACAATCCTAGAGACTGAAATGAGAGGATGGAGATTTGAGGGTAGCCTTAAATTCAGAGACTCCTTCTCTACCCATAGCCGGACACCTGTCATATCAGGGTATGTGGTGGCTTAGACTGGTACGATTATGGCATCAGGCCAGCTTAGGTAGAAAAGTATGAGAGACTGTCTCCTTGGAACAGAAGTTAAATAGAGTGTCATGCCCTTAAAAGCCAAGAGAAAACAGGAAGCCCAAAAGTAGGTGGATCAGGGCTCAGGTAGGAAGTAAAACTTTACCTTGAAATAATTAGTGAGTTGGGTGCCAGAAGCTCAAGTCTGTAATCCCAGCTACTCAGGGATCTGAGATCTGAGGATCACGGTTTGAAGCCAGCCCAGATATGAAAGTTAGCTCATCTCTTATCTCCAATTAAACACTAACACAAGCTGGAAGTAAAGCTGTGGCTCAAGTAGTAGAACACCAGCTTTGGGCAAAACTGCTCAGGGTCAATGCCCATAACCTGAGTCCAAGGCTCAAAACTGGCACTAAAAACTAAAAACAAAAAATTTTAAAATGGTGAAAAATAAGTCTGGAAGTGGACTTGCCAGTATGGCACCATTCTAGTAATTATGGCACCATCTTATTAATCATGAGGCCCTGAGTTTAAACCTCCACTACCACCAAAAACAAAAACAACTAAAAAAAAAAAAAAAACCAGAGGGAACAAAATTTAAATAACTGAGACTGGTAACAGTACGAACTCCATATTAGTTTCTTATTTTTGTTAACTATTCAATGATTGATGTTAACATTAAGAATAAATGAAAGGTATATGTAAACATTCCATAATTGTTATTTCAAGTTAAAACTTTGAAATATTAGGCACAGTGTTACAAAATACTATGAAAATCCATTCTGTATCTTATAGTTCAAATCACAAATGTGCTTCTTTTAAAAATGTCAGACATGATTATCACCTTGGTCATTCACCTACAATACAATATCTAGCTACTAAGTTCAATATTCCCAGGAAAGATAAAACACAGCTAAGGCTGAAAGAAGCTACTTCCTTCTCCAACCCAGCCCTTTTCATTGTCCACAGTCCTATCAGTTAAAGGGCAAGTTTACAGAAAGAGAAGTTTACAGAAATATGAGCAGTATTTAGAATTACAATCATGATGTTATAGTTTTGCCTCTCTGAACAAATGTGATTTTCCATGGGCATTTACACATTGTTAATCAATTAATCAAACAAAGAAAACCATTCTAATGTCATGGAGACATGTAGACAAACAGGAAGCTCAGAACCCTGCTGTGGTATAATACATAATTAGCTGATTAAATAATCCAGTGGGAGGTTAAGTGGTAAGAAGAAAGGAAAACAGGATGAATACTTGGGCCACTCGACCTCATAATAAGCAACGTAGGTGGGAAAAGAAATCTTTAAGAGTTACAAAAACTGGGAAGGTGCTGGTAGATATATACACATACATCAATTATGCAACACTGACTGACAAGTATCTTCCTATATTGAAGCCCAGACATTCTACAAAAACAGATCAGCAATCGCTCTCTGAAAAGGAACAAATGAAATGGAACTGCAGATCATCTCACCTCTATCATGATTATTATACTCTGCCATGATAGCATGAACACAGCCACAGATAACACAAAAACAAAGGAATGTGGCAACATACAAATAAAACTTCATTTACAAAAGCAAGAAGCAGGGTCAGTTTGATCTTCCAGTAAGACTGGCTATCTTTCTAGAAATGTTCAACTTTAAAATTTTAATTTTGGAAATAAAACTAGAAGTTTTATAAAAGGAATGAAAATAAAGATAAAAGTGTAATCCCAAGAAATTAACAATACTCATTTTAATCATCAGAATTTAGGATTTCTAAACTTGATTTTAATATACTTTTCACAAGGTATATGATTTAATACGCATTTTGAAGATATTAAGTTTTGACATTATGGGGATTAATTGGAAGCAAGTGAATTTCTAATCTGTTATTAACTTTCCACAAAGAGATATTCTCTCAAGAATCAAGTTTTTTCTACAAACTGAAAATGGAGATGGAAAATGACAAAGAATGAGTCTTTAAATGCCACGCATCATGATGGAAGAGCTTATTCGTGTATATTAGTTTCAATAATTATCTCCCACATTTTTAGAAAACACAAGGATTATAAAATCTGGACTGTATCATGAACAAATGCTGTTTGGATTTCAGTGGCAGAATCACAGTTGGTGATTTGCAATATGCCAATAACATGCAATTTTTACAGCTTTCTTTTAAACCAAAATTTAAGTGCCAGGTGCAGATATGAAGTAATTTTGTGTTAAATTGGGAGTGATATGTAATTTTAGAAAATCTACTCCACAAGAATAC